CCCCCCCCGACCAGGAGGCCCCGCTGCAACCCCCCCCTCCAGCGAGCCCCACCGCGCTTCCAGCGACACAGCCTGCCGCCGGGGCACCAGCAGGACCTGGGGTCTCTGGTCTTCAGAGAGCACTGTTAGAACGGGCGTTTTCACGAACAAAGGAGGCTTTAAAGCCACTGACACAAGATTCTGAAGCCTGGCAGTTCAAACATTGAACATTCAGAGCGCTGAACGTTTGTTACCGACATAAATTAACAGGAAATTATGGTTGAACTTGTGATTGTTGGCAGAGCAGCCATTCCTGTGTTCATCTCAAACAACAACAAAAAGTTGTCTGCGAAGGCCAGCGCTGGGAGAGGAAAAAAAAAAAAAATTTGAGGAGTGAGCTCTGCTGGACTTGAGTCACTTTGTGGGAGGAACAGCGGGCAGACACTGCTCAACACTGCTCATGTCCCCCTCTACCAGATACCAACACCACCTCAAATCTAAGCCAGCAAGACCCAGTCCCCCTAGAGCCAGGGAGTTAGTGAGGCAACCAGACGCCCAGGTGTCACACCGCACCCTGCAGCCCCAGGTGTCTGGAAAACAAGCTTCTGAAAACCGCGTGGCAGGGCACGCAGTACGATTTCTGGGCTACCGTTACAGCAAAAGAGAACATGAGCAGCACTGGCCTTTCCTGATACTTGCAGACCTCCCTGGAGACCCTCCACCATCTCACAGGCTCATTTATTTTTAACAGCAAAAGGCTCTCACACACACATTTACAAGCACAGTTGAGATTTTTTTTTCTTCTGAAAAAAGTAAAATCAGAAACATCTCTGAACTGCATAGTAGTCACTGTGGTATAGATGCTTCCTTTGCTCTCCAGCCATGACACTGAGAACAAGAAACACAGTAATATCAGAAATGCCCTTAAATATATACAAAAACACACACATAACACACAGAGCCATTTTCCAGACACGCTGGGAAGGAAAAACAGAACTGGAAAGTCATGCCAACACAATCTGAATCGCCTTCGTTCTCACACCGTTTATTCAGACCATTTCAATCTCTCCAA